GGCTTTTGTTTTGTTTATTATTGTTTTTTTCCATTTTGCATTTATAAGCCTAAAGTTAATTAAAGATTCGTGAAAACAACATAGCTGAAACAAGCCAATCCACTATTTTGTTTATCCAATCAATTATTTGATTATTTTACCCTCATTCTCCTTTTAGGGAAGTGGCACTTGAGTATTTGAAGACATCACTTGAGACGGTGAAGAAATTACTTAATGTTTTGATGCGAAACCTCGGAGTCGAACTAGATGACTCAAAAATTGGTTCACTTATTGGTAGGAAGACTGTCAATATGAACTACTATCCCACATGTCCTAATCCTGAGCTTACAGTTGGTGTAGGACGTCATTCTGATATGGGCACTCTCACTGTCTTGTTACAAGATGGGGTAGGTGGTTTGTATGTAAATGTTCCAGGTGATGCAGATATAGGTAAGAAGGGAGAATGGGTAGAGATCCCTCCTATTCCTGGTGCTTTGGTCATCAATGTTGGCGATATGTTACAGGTTCATATCAAATTTTTAACTAAAGGGTTCTTTTCTTTGAATGAAAAAATCATGTGGAAAAAAAATCAGAAAACAAAACCAAAATCTAATATAGTTACCATGTTTTGAATTCATTGTGTTTTTTGTTTACAGATATTGAGCAATGGAAGGTATAAAAGCGCAGAACATAGAGTTCGTACAACAAGTTCAAAATCAAGGGTATCAATACCAATATTTACAATTCCAAAACCAACAGAAAAGATTGCACCGCTTCCTCAAGTGGTCGAGAAAGATGGAATTGCTCACTATAGAGAATTTCTGCTTGCAGATTACATGAACAACTTTTTTGGAAATCCACATGATGGCAAAAAGTCTCTTGATTTTGCAAGGATTTAATTCAGCTTGATGCCAGAATTATATGTGCCTAAACGTACTCTTAAGTTTAGTTTGTCTTTCAGTGGGTCTTAGATATTTCATCGTATACCGGATTTTGAAATAAACGAAAAATAATGTACACACTCTCGCATCTCTCCTTTCAGAATTGTGTCCTCAATTACCTCATATGGCTTGCATTTTCTCTCCTTTCTGGTTGTAATTTTTTGTGAAATTTTCCCGATTGCTGCTGCATTTCCTATACCACGAGCTGGATCCTCTCTCCACCATCCAACATCTCTATTTGGGCTTCCTCATTATTCCTTATTAAATTAAAGACACTATTTTGAATTTTATTGAAGAAATAAACCTTACAAACTATGTATTAATATTGAATACAACATCAGAAAAAATTAGTTTAGAGAAGAAAATCCAATTACAATTTTGTGGTTCCAAAATAGAAAGAAAAGACCATGAAAGTCACCACTTTTTATTGTCTTAAAAAACTTACAGTAGAGGAAATAAATAATTAAGAAGGCAAGAGAAAGTTAGAATTAAGGCCAGGAATAAAATATAACTCAGAATCCAGATCAAGCAGAATTAATCTGTGCAAAATCAAGGGACTTCTTGCCATCATGTGCATTTCCGAAAAAGCTATTCATATAATCTGCAAACACAAACGCTTTATAACGAGTCACTCCATCTTCCTTTACTACTTGAGGCAATGGTGCAATCTTCTCTGTTGGCTTTGGGCTCGTAAATATCGGTACTGACACTCTCGACTTGGCGCTTGTTGTACGAACTCTATGCTCTGCACTTTTGTACCTTCCATTGCTTAATATCTGCATCAAGCAAATTAAAAACATGGCCATTAGGTACTTGAAACATGATTTTTTTTTTCTTTTTGTTCAATCTTCCAATTTTTAGAATTCTTTTAGATAATTATATATATATATATAGAATTATTGTTATTTTTTCAATAAAATAAAGTATCGTCAATATATTTTCTGATTTTCTGATTTTTACCTGTAGCATATCACCAATGTTGATAACCAAGGCACCAGGTATAGGAGGAATCTCGACCCACTCTCCTTTCTTTCCCAAATCCATGCTTTCTGGAATTTTTACATACAAACCACCAATTCCATCTTGTAATAA